ACATTTAAAGTTAAGTTTAAAACTGGCCTCAAAACATAGTCCTCAAATAAGTTCTTGTTCTTGTTTGCTTTTCTGTACTTTGCAACACTTTCCCCTGTTGTTTATATTTGTCCTCATATGTTGACGAACCTCTGAGGCCTTACATCCATACTTTGTTGATAGCTGTAAAAAGACAAATACATTTATTTTATGTATACCATTCCAATGTGTTTTATTAACCCATTAAATATGCCCAAATGCACCCAATTTATTATTTTACTCTAAGTGGAGAGTCTTGCACTTTAATAGAATAAACACAGTAAAATAACAAAGTACTAAAAGTAGGGCACATTGCTTCTAAATATGCCACACAGCAGCTTTTGCAGTTAATTATTAACCTTTCAATGACCAACATTCATTTTGATTAGTAAAATCATCTGATAAATATCAAAGTACTGAAAGTGGGGATTGAGTGTTAGGGTGAATTGCATCTAAATGTGCTAACGCCAAATCATGCAAAATAGTCTGGTATTAACAGGGCAAAATATTGAGCTTTGAAATAGAGCAAATTAGTGTGAATTTGTGAATTGGGTGTTAATGAGTTTACACAAAACACAGGGAGACAGCAAGGTAACCTATCAAAGTTGTCCACTCTTTTTCAAGTAAAATGATCTGGTGTTTGACAAGGTAAAATAAAAAAAGTACTGAAAGTTGAGCACATTCATCTTAACAAGTTAGCATGAAATGTAAGCTAGCAGAGAGTATGGTTAATTTGAATACCATCATATAGTTATGTTTAATTAATAGAAAAACATGGATAATTTTCCTGGCATTACACTAAAGCATGTCTAAAGGCTAACAGATTTTAATACATTGACTGGTGCAAGACCTCTCAAAATGAAAATTGTTTAATTTAAACAAAACATATGAATAAATACTGCTGCTGATTTGAGCAAGTAAGTTAAATTTTCTATAGGCATGCATTAAATATGGCTGACAATTTACAATTAATCTGGCATATACAGTTGGCACTTGGGATATACAAATATATTAATAAACATGGATAATTCTGATTCAAATATAAAACTTTTAGAGTAGCATTTGTTGAAGTATAAACGCTATAAATATATTTATATCAGCATTCTAATTCCGTTTATATTGTCGCGGCAAATTCAAATTTTATCAAACCACATGCTCGAATTTCACAAAAGAAGATTGGAGGTATTTCCTTTATAATTTGCTTTATTATAAATAAAATATAAACTTATTCTTACCTGAACATTATGCAAACATCCCTGATGTATTACTAGTGAAAATCCAGTTGAATCCCATCAAAAATAGTTCTATTTTGCACATAAACCATTGACAAACACTGACTTGAAAAAATATCGGAAGTGTGATGATCTATCCTTTGATGCTTTGCGCGCGTGGCAAGAAAACTAGACACCAGTCTGTCAGTCGCGCACATTGCGGTAATTATTCATTTAATCTTAGAAAATAAATAGTCCCAGTATTACTATTAAATTCTCTATTAATAAATGTCTATGAGTAAAATACGATATAGGAATAGTGTAGTTGTATAAGAAATTAAAATTCCTATAAGAATTCTTATAGGATATGATAATGGTGAAAAAATTCCTATAAGAAATAGAAATTCCTGTAGGAAGGAGTTATCTCGTAAATTATATTTATCTGTATAATTTTTATATAAGTAAAGTTCTTATACCCATGCATGTATCAGGCCATAGTGGTATAGGCTATGAATTTTTCCCACCATTTTCCAATCCTATAAGAATTCCTATAGGAATTTTTATTTCCTATAGGATTTTTTTTCACCATTTTCAAATCCTATAGGAATTTTCATTTCCTATAGGAATTCCTATAGCCATTTTCCAATCCTATAGGAATTCCTATAGGATTATCTTTTCCTATAGGAATTTTTTCACCATTTTCAATTCCTATAGGAATTCCTACAGGAGTTTTCAATGCCTATAGGAATTCCTATAGGAAATTTCAATTCCTATAGGAATTCCTATAGGAATTTCAATGCCTATAGGAATTCCTATAGGAAAATTTAATTCCTATAGGAATTCCAATAGGAATTTTCAATGCCTATAGGAATTCCTATAGGAAATTTCAATTCCTATAGGAATTCCTATAGGAATTTTTTTGACCATTTTCAATTCCTATAGGAATTCCTATGGGAATTTTCAATTCATATAGGAATTCCTATAGGAATTTTCAATTCCTATAGGAATTCCTATAGGAATTTTGATTTCCTATAGGAATTCCTATAGGAAATTTTCGTAAGGGATACTAGTAAATATCAATGCTATAGAAGTATAGGTAATCACACGGGAAGGAGTGCAATTAATGATTAACACTACAAGTGATATTTGAAAAATGTGCCAAAATTGCACAAGCCATTAATAATTAATTTAACGACTTGTCCGTGTGATAATTTAATTATTTTATGCATAGCATGATGACAAAATAGTTTTCTTTAAAATCCAGCTTCATTTTGTGAAGAGTTTTTAATTCTTTTGTAAGCAATTTGGCATAAAGAAACTTGGGAAATGATCATAAACCCATAAAGGCACATAACTTAAACTAGGACAGATGATTCAAACTCAAATAACATATGTTCAGACTTCAGAGTATTAAGAAAATCTTTAATCTTTATAAATTGTATTACAGACTTACATAGTCACGTTTGCTGCATCTCGTCGAGATTATTTCTTAAAACTGTTTCCAGGTATTCTCCACAGACTTTTTTTGCCACACTATGTTTTTTAAACTCATTCTTGTGCCAAAATTTAGTTCAATTCGTCCATGTGGTTTTTATACAAGATAAAGATTAATTTCCCCGCCATATTGGACCTGTTGTTTTGATTTCCCACTCCCCCCAGCCATCGAAAATCATTAATTGCACCACAAGTGGCCCAATCTCGCAAGGGTCAAGTGCCATCGAGACAGATCGAGTGCAAAGTCTCAGAAAATATTAGTCCAACAAAAGAGGAATAAAAGGAGAACACACACTATCGAATAGACAAGTCAATTTCATTTTAAAATTTATTACATATTTTTACTATAATATACATTGCTATAATATGCAAGTCTATACTGTCGCTTGCGAGAATGGGCCGCCTGTGATCTATAGTATATGTTTGGAATGCAAGTTCGATCACAGGGGGAAGAGGGAGGGGCTATGAAAATTTATTATATTTAAAGGGGGGCTATGAAAAAAATATTTTGAAAGAATGAGGGGTCATGAAAAATCAGAACAGAACAGAACAGAGCAGAACAGAACAGAACAGAACGCAGCATGGAACCTGCTTGAGACTTTATACGTAGATGCACCACTATACGCAGTATAGTATAGCTAATTTACTCGTGCTTTTACTCGTCTTTTTCATTGTCTGTAGTTTTTGCTGTTTCTTCCTCTTCATCAGCAATATCAATAGCAACAGACTCTGTGCTAGCATCTACACATGCAACGTCATGCGATTCAGCCGCGTCATCTAATGACTGAAGTTCGTCATGTGAATAACGTTCAATAATTACTATTGCAGTACAGTTCGCCCAAACATTGACAGGAGTGACAATGCGATCTCTGTATAAATAAAATACGAAACAATGGTGAGTAACATGCATTGCAAGAACACTTTTATAAAATGTGACAGTACATGTACACCTATATATTAAGGTTGTGAAAAGCAATATTCAAATGTACAATTTAAATGCAAAAAGTATATAGAGAAAATTTCCACGTTTCCGATCGTAAACATTTAAGCAGCCCACTTTTCAAAATTTGTCAGTCACCTGATGATTCCGTTCCGTTCGTCCATGGTAACTTGTGAAAGGTCACTGTTTTTTCTCACAAAGGGGATGGTCAGCGGTCGGATAGATCACAAAGCTCGTTTAAAACCTTATTTTTTTCCCTTTATAATGAAGAACTTAAAAATTTGATTGATGACCATTCTGGAGAATGTATTCAAAAGTAATTCCAAGCGGTTAACTTATTTCCACATCGCGAAACCACGATAAATAACTCGCGAAAGTTGAACTCTCTAATTTCACGCACGGCCTGGTTGTGTTAATTTTATCCTTCCGTGAATACAACAATTTTGGTATTCGTAAAATTACATGCACTCTAGAGGTAGGGGCGTAGCTAAGGGGGGGGGGGGGGCCAATGCCGTGTCCGTCGGCACAATAAACCAGTTGTCGGCAAAATTAATTGGATCAAGTCAATAGGCAATACCTCACTGGAGAGAGGTTGTAATTTGTAGAAAATGCGAGATCGAAAGAAAGAAAATGTCGACTGAAAGATCGGCCTTTTTTCGAACATTCAGCCAAATTGGCCAAGAACTCCGACCGCCGTTCGTATTATACGCTCTTACGCTAATAGGCTAGTACCGGGTGTCCCAAAAAAAAGTACTCCGGTTTGATTCGTAATAACTTCTAAACAAGTAAAGTTTTTAAAGATAAATAACTTGCATCAAATAGAGGAAGGACTAACTTAGATTTTGATATATTACAGTTGTATTTCACTTAAAAATTCACGGAGATATTAATGTTTAAAATCGGGAGCATATTTCTTGATGTGTCTGAAATATGCAAAAAACGGCGTATCAAATATTAATCAAGATTTGCCCGATTGAAACATACACGATTACCAGTAAATAAATTACACTTGACAAATTGTTTATTATGAAACAAATTATTATTATCTACAAAATGCAAGCAAGATTTATTCGTCCGAAATCCGCGTGTTTTCCTAGCACGAATACGTTTCCTTATTTCAAGAGACCACTGCATCGCGAAGGATTGTCATGGATCGTTCGTAGTTCTGAATTAGGACATGCTGTCACAATCGAATTGTGAAGCTCTTCTAACTTTTGCAACGTTCTGAAATCTTGTTAAAAACACGCAAACTCTTTTCCTTTTCTTAATCTTTTTAAGTGCAGAATAAACTGAGAATGAAACACAATCAAACCATACAACTCGATAAGACATGACAAGCATGCAACTCCCCAGAGACATCTAACATTTTTGGAACAAAACGTAACAAAATAGTAGCGTTGATACTGTGATGTGTATTTGCAAAAAGCAATATTATTTCCTTCATTGCTGAATAATATTCATCCTGCTCTAACCGATAAATAATCAACTCTGTTTTTAATCCATGATAAACATAAAAAAATTAGGTTATTTAAGAAATTTTAAAATTTAAGCGGCTACCTTGCATGGTCTTTCATGTACCTTATAAGATTGTAAAGACCTACTAAATACTTGCATAATTTCGTACGTTCATATTTCAGGAAACAATGAGCTAAGACTTATATGTAAGATGTCTAAATCTATGCCATATCCCTTACAAACCCTAACGACAATTCGCTGAAATACAAGTTAGCCTGATATGTCATCAAGCAAACAAACGCTGAAGTTAATATTTGATATGCCGATTTTCGCTAATTTTAGACACATTCAAAAATATGCTCCCGATTTTGAACATTAATATCTCCGTGAATTGTTAAGTAAAATACAACTGTAATATATCACAATCTAAGTTAGTCCTTCCTCTATTTAATGCAAGTTATTTCTGTTTGATAACTTAAATTGTTTTGAAGTTATTACAAGTCAAACCGGAGTACTTTTTTTTAGGACACCCGGTAGTATTATATTTTCTTGCAATCTTGTGAAATATGACACCATAGGAAATTCGAAGCACATGTGTGTGTTTACTGTCTATCTTTAAACCTTAATCAGATACTCCTAAATCAGCTTACAACCATACTAATAACTTACTGACCGAGAGTGAGGGCAGTACGGGAAAATATCCAACCGAGGTCTTGCTGTATTGACCGAGCGACGGTTGAGGTCAGTAAGTTTTTTATTATATGGCATTGTACGTTTGTAAAAAAATGGGGGAAAAAAGGTCACGCGAGGTCACAAAGGTCACAAAGTCCGAAACATTTGCAAAAAAGAACAATTGTAAAAAATGTTCTCAAGCTTGGTTAGTAAAACTACTCTACAGTACTTTCTATATAGAATACTAACACAGTTGGATAGTATTTCAAGAAAAATACGAGGTATTTCGTCATTTAATCAAAGACAAAGACAACAAATATGAAAACAATAAAATTAATAAACATGCAGTATGGACAAGTACGTTTTTAGTTCGCTTCATCTCATAAATAGTCTCTTTTTATCGAAAAAACACAGAAATTTTCAGGAAAAAATATAAATCTGTGGCTGCTTTAGTTGTATTTTTTGTTTAGGATAGTGTCAAATTCCTCGGCTATCTGCAAAGAAGATTTGCAGCTCTTCACAAAGTCAAAACACAGCTATTCCTGACTTCTTTAATAGTTATAAACATTGTAAAATTTACCTTTTAATTTCGACTTTCGCTAACAAAAACATATTGAGAAAGTTATTTAACCAACGGAGGTTCTCATTTTCTTTAATTTAGGTTTATTTTTCTTCGTTTTGAATAGTTTTGAAAGAGTTTTAGACACTTTTTGCCGTTTGAAACTCGGCTCTTGTCGCAGGGCAATAAAAATTGCGTATTGCCCGTGGGCAATAAGGGAAAATCCTGCCTCGTCAGCAGCCAATCAAATTGCGCGATCATCAAAACAAATGCTTGCCATATAATAATATACATTATTTATCATTGCCTTTTCATTTCCCGGCGTTATTTGATTTGCGTGAAGCAAACGGGAAATATTGAAAACTATATAATTGTTTATAGTTTTGGTCCTTAGCAACCACCATAGCAACGAGATTCTGTTGAAAAATCCATCCCATTGGTTCATTTGAATTTGCATATTTTACTCTGAATAAATCCCCTCCCCTCCCTATCTGTACTTTGTTTTGTTACTCTTTTATTGCATGTTACACCAAGTATTTGCCTGTATATTCAACACACAAATCCTCAATATCATCTTCGGCGGCCATCTTTAAACGGCAATTTCTAAAAGCTTCTTTACAAGATTATTTTACAAGTCATTCTGTTTACAAAATCATGCAAGATCATGAAGAAGGAAACGTAGATTTCAAGGGAATCGACATGCCGTGTAGAAGAGGGGAAAACTAAACAAAAATTCCCTTCAAAAATTGAATCAAAATCGAAGTACACCATCCAGTCATGTTCAAGATGAAAGCTATAATAAGGCATCGCATGCACTCGGCCTCGGCCAGCAAAATTGGTGAAATTAGTGATACTTTAGAGCCTACAGTGAACGGAAATAAAGTAAGTGCCAAGTGGCTATCGCTTTACTGATATTTCGATCCTGTGCTCCATGTTCGAAATGTTGCCATCCAATTGACATTGATGGCCAACAGTTCAAAATGAATGGGTTCTCTCTCTCTCTCTCTCTCTCTCTCTCTCTCTCTCTCTCTCTCTCTCTCTCTCTCTCTCTCTCTCTCTCTCTCTCTCTCTCTTTCAGATAAAAATAGCTATTTTTTAGATAAATCAAAGAATGGTATATGCAATGAGGTCAATTGATCGTGGACAATCTTCAATGTCTCGGTTCTGTAATTCTACCATAAACATGCGACCACCGGTTGGCTTACAGCCATTTAGGGAGCACACGAAAGTGATTCTGCGGGCTGCAAAGATGTGGCTGAACAAACAATAAAGGATGCAGTACAGAAATCTACAACTCCAGGACTGAGGATGGTGAAGACATTTTGGAAAATGCTGTTGTAGTAACGGAAGCCGCGATCGACTTCGTGTTACAAAATCTAACTACAACGCGGAGGAGAAGAATAAAGTATAGAGAAAGGTCATCAGGGGAGGAAATAAGAGGAAAGGTGACAAGAATGAAGTAGAAGAGGGAAAAACATATGCAGCAGGTTCATTTTAAGTACACTTTGATGTAATTTATATGGTAATTTTTACGAGTACAAATTATTGTTAATGGACGATACTCAATGCGCTAGACCTAAAAATTATAGATTTAAAATGTCTATGTTAAGCCAATTCGAAAGCTACTATTGTCTAAACAAAGGAAGACTCTATCACAGACTTTCATTATTTGCTTGCCAAACCCGTAGGCTACTGCACCCAGTATCGTTTATTAATTATTGTCCAAACCACTATGTTTGACCTATTCATAACTATAACAATGAAACTATAGTTAAACATGGGCAGATATCCGAGTTAGCTTTATCTGCCTATATCATTCTTACTTGGATTGCGAGCTGTAAGGACTGATTTAAAATGGTTGCCTCACCAAACACTTACCACAAAAAATATCAGCATTGATTGGCAAGAGCTCTATGCTATTGTGGTAGCCTCCTACATATGGGCACCTTTATGGGCTCAAAAACGAATTGTGTTTTACTGCGATAACCAGGCAGTGGTTTCCATAATCAATTCCAAACGTTCAAAAAGCCCTCGTATTATGGACTTAGTGCGTCCTTTAACCTTACAAACACTGAAATATAAATTTTATTTCAAAGCCTTACATGTGCCTGGTCATTATAATGACATTGCTGATTCTATCTCCCGTTTTCAGCAAACCAGATTTCGGCGGCTAGCACCGCATGCAGACCATCAACCTCAACCTCTACCAGAGGAACTTTCTCGTCTCTAGACGCTGACTTACGTCGTTATCAACTTGCTTCGTTAGCTAAAGGTACGATTAAAACTTATAGCAGTGGCGAAAAACAGTTCACGAATTTCTACTATCAATTCCATTTACATAAGTATGTGCCTCTTCTGCCAACAACGGAAAACATTCTGATTTACTTTGCTGTTTTTCTCGCTAAGACGGTAAATCCAGACACCATCAAAGTCTATCTCGCAGCAGTACGCCATATGCATTTGGTTAACGGCTACGACCTTCAAATCACCAAATTTCAACGCCTACACTATATTTTGCGAGGTATAAAGCGAGTAAAAGGAGTGTCTACAAGAACACGCCTACCAATTACATTAGACCATTTGAAATTGTTTCACCGCATATTACACTCACGGACATCGCCAACACATGATGAAACCATGATTTGGGCAGCGATTTCCATAGCATTTTTCGGGGTTTTGCGGATTGGTGAAATGACTTGCTCCGGTCCTTATAATTCTTCAACAAATCTTTGCCGATCAGATGTAAGTTTTCATAACAAAAAACGTGGGGATAACGAGGTTTTTCTGCAACTACGAATTAAAGCGTCAAAAACCGATCCGTTTCGAGCCTCAGCCACAATAACCATTGGCAGCAATTCTGGTATATATTGTCCAGTAAGGGCCCTTCAAACCTACCTTTCACGTGCGCCAACGGACTATGCGGGACCATTGTTTTGCTACTCAAACGGTGTTCCTTTATCACGTAGTCAATTTACTAAGGAACTACGAACACTTTTGGCCCAAGGTGGTCATCACCCTGCTCACCATGCAGGCCACAGCTTTAGAATCGGAGCGGCTACCACAGCTGCGTCCCAAGGTTTGCCTCATTGGCTTATTCAAACGCTAGGAAGATGGTCTTCCGATTGTTACCTCAGGTATATTCGCACGCCAATCAATGTCCTTACAGACGTTTCAAAACGATTGATTGCAGAGTGAAATAAACACTCGATCGTTGTTTGTCGGTCTATGGGGATCACACACACTATCGTTGTGTGATTGTGGAGGCAATTGCTCTAGTATGAGGTCGCAATTTTACCATAGACCTCACGTTTTCTTTACGGAATTTGGCAACCTGGCATACAGCCAATTCCCATTTACAAAAATCACTCTATTTCTGCATATAAGTATATGTGCTGAGCCAGATCAGTGTTCTAAGAAATATTTCCCTGATCATTTTTTCCCAGGGCCCAGCTCAGAGTATATGTCTTGCAGGGCAGGCTAGGATCCAGCTCTAAATGGAGTATATGTTCTAGCCGACTCAGGACCCAGCTCTAAATCCGTAAAAGTATATGTCTTGGGCAGATTAGGACCCAGCTGCAAATCAGTATATGTCCTAATCGACTTTCCCCAAGATCCAGCTTTTCAATACGAGTATATGCCCTGGGAACCGCTCAGCACCCAGCTCTTCGCAGATAAAAAATACAATATATAGAGCAGTTGTCCCACACTTCCATTTTTGATGTAATTTATCTGTTTAAATGTAATTTGTTTGTCTTCAAAAGTTATCTTGCAACTTTTGAACTCGAATTTTACTGAAGTCGGGACGCTCTCTCTCATGCGAAATATTAGTCCAAATTTCATAAAATTTTCAGAATATAATTATTCTAAATAGATCTCAAACTTAAACCTCAAAAATCTTATTTATCATTATAATATATCTATAAAAAAATTTTTTGTCTACAATGAATACCCAATTTTTGCCGATTTTGAAAAAAAAAATTTTAATGTAATCTTATCAAATGTGTTATTTTTTTAGGTTTGCATGTTTAATACATCTTGTTGACTTTCCTTCAAACTTAACTATATACTTTGATGACCATTATTACTCTTGCTATCATGTCCCGAAAAAGGGGTACTTTTTCACTATATAGAAGGATGTGACTTGGTAGGCATGGAAACAGCATATATGAAGTTTGTATTTTTGGTGTTAGCAACATAAAAACATTCAGGACAAACACTTAGACGCTTACGGCCTGCATTTAAACAAATTTGGTACAGGCATAATGTCAAAAAACTTTCTTAGCTACTTTAATTCTAAGTACAATTGATGCTACGAATCTGCCTCGGAGCACACCTCATACTCGTATGGTAAAACCGGTGATGACATAAACGACCAAACAAATGAGTTGCCTCGGGAGGAAGGCAATATTACTGGTAAAGTTGATAAAAAATCGAAAAACGGGGATAAAGGTTTCAAAATAGGTCATCTTAATATTAGAAGCTTAATAAAAAATATAGATCAATTGAAAATCTACCTTTCCAATCACCAATACGACATTATATGCATTAATGAAACCTGGTTAGATGATAAAAGCAATACTTATGAAGTTAGTTTAGATGGATATGACCTAGTGCGTAAAGGTAGAAAACGTACAGGAGGTGGAGTAGCTATGTATATTAGAAATTCAATAAGCTATAAAATTAGAGACGACATAATGCCAGAAGAAGTGGAGACAATCATGGTGGAAATAAAAAAACCTAGAGCTAAACCTTTTTTTCTTAACACGTGGTACAAGCCTCCAGATATGCCTATAGAAGCATTTAATGAATAGAGATTTAGAGATTTATTCAGGAACTGCACTATTTACAAAACAAAGAAAATGTATACAAAATTTTACAAATAATTATGTTTTGAATGAATAATTTCAAGTTAATTTGATAAAGTGAAGGTGGGTAGTGATCAAAGGAGCATAAACTTTCGTGTTGATCTCTACCTACGTTCGATCACATAGATTATTTTATATGGTTGAGCTTAAATAAAGACACTCAGATACACATGTACACATATACACATACATATATATACACATATATAATATACATACACATATAGACTCAAGTCTCAATAACATTTTTCATTGATTTTGTAGAAGGGCAGCTTTATATCTTTTCTTAAAGATTTCAAATGAAGACGAACTTTTTTATTTTCAAGTCAATAGACTCCCATATTTTTGATGCAACAAATTGAAAAGTGTGCTTTCCATAATTTGTCTTGACCTTTGGCCTGACAAAATTTAATTTTGAAGCAAATCTTGTATTATAACTGTGTTGTTGGTATGCTGGTCTCACAAACTCTAAGAAGATAGCCGGAATATTTGATCTTCCATTAACTATTTTATAACTAAATTCTGCAATTTTTAGCTTAAATATGTTTTCAAATTTAAGTATTTCCATGAGGTTATAATACGGAGTAGCACTTTCCCTGCTATATGCAAAGAACATATTCCTTAGACACTTATTTTGTTTGGTATTTCCCCAACTCATTACTCCATAAGTTTAAATAAGGATAAATAAGTGTATAATATAATTGCTTTATCATTTTTAAGTCTAAATAGCGTCGAAGTTTATTTATAATTCCAATATTTTTAGCTATTTTATTATTGACATATTTTATTTGTTGTTTCCATGCAATTGATATGTTCATCCAGAAAAATCCCCAAGTACTTTATAAAACCTTTTTGTTCAATATTATCAATTTTTATGCTGTTTAGTTTCTTTCTCGTTGAAGATATTACCATATATATATAATGAGTCTTCTGAAAATTTATTTATTGCACAATAGTTACGTATTAACTTAAATTTTTCATTCATTGTACTTTCCAAGTTCAACAAATTTTTACAGGAATAAAAGGCGTTAGTATCATCAGCAAATGTAATCTCTATATAATTTTTTAGCTTTAACCCTTTTTATTCCAGTACTTACAATACAGAAAATTGGTAAGTGATCAGATATGTCCATCAATCCAATGCCCGAAAGGATTTGGTCAATAGGGGCATTAGTATATATATGATCAATTAATGTTTTAGTATAGTCAGTTATTCTTGTCGGTTTTGTTATAATGGGTAAAAAGTTATTTGCATATAGCATGTTTAAGTGCCTCTCCGTCTGTTGATTATCATTAAACTATATAAAATCAATATTCATATCACCTAATATAATATTAAATTGTCCAAGTAGTTCATCTAATTTTTCTGTAAAAGCCGCTATTTTTGAATGCGGATGTCTATAAATGCAACCAATTATATATCTTTTTTTATTAGGACCTGCATCAATTTCGATCCAGCACGATTCGACTTGTTCACAATTTATCACTATATCAGGCCTAATTATGGTTTTCAAATTATTTGCTATATAAATTCCAACTCCTCCAGCAGAAGTTGGCGAGTTAACATTAAAGAAGTTATATCCCGTTATATCTACATTACACACTGTATTATCATTGAGTCTAGTTTCTGCCGTCACAGCAATTATGTCAGGTTTTCTTTTAAATGAAGCCAATATGTCATGCAGTAATTCTAAATTTTTCGGTAGGCTCCTAACATTAAAGTGCATTACCGCTAGTGAATTTGTCCCAGCGTTATTCAATAAACTATTTGTTTCTTCACATGTATAATAACTAGATACTACTTGATCTAGCATAAAATCTGAATCAATCTCATCAAACTTATTCGGGTTCGTCATTAACCGATTCAGACCAACATCAGAATCCAAACAACCCGCCATTATAAAACTTCACACAGCAATACTCTCGCAGTTATACTGCTTCATTGATTCTTAACAAAATTATTAAATTCATCTAATCTAGTAAAACCATGAATTTTCGAACTATAGGATTCTCGCAATAATATCTTTCCATTTACTGTCCATAAGTATTTATAGTGATGTTCTTTCTTGAAAGCATTCATAATACTAAACAATTTCCTACGATTAGCTGTAAGCGACTCGTTAATATGAATCTTCTGATAAATAGAGCCATTCCGAGCAGCATGCAGACGGCAAGTCCTTCGTCGTTTTGGCCGCTATCATTTTCCTCTTCTTATAGAATTCATCTTTTACATCTCTATGAACAAACTTAACTATCAGTCTGTTTTTTATATTCTTTGTTGCTGGCAGTGGATGTGTAGTAGATACATGATGCTCGGTTAACTCCATCCCCATCAGCTGTCCAATTTCAACAATTATTTGTTTTGCATTCACATCGGGTGTTAATGGTACCCCTGTTACTTCGATGCAATCCCGTCGAATGTATTGCTGTAGTTCATCTATAATAGCATTTTGATCGTTCGATAACTTCTCCAGCTGATCGATCTTCGCTTTATTTTGGTTGGTGCTTTGTTTAAGACCAGAGATTTGTTTCTTGGTCGTTTGAAGTAATATCATAATACTATCATACTGATCTGCCAAGAATTTTTGAGACTTTTCAATTTCGTCGCATTTACCTTTAACGTCGTTAATGTCTTTTAAGATCGGTTTTAACTCTTCTTGAATCTTCTTGTGAATACTAGGAAGTAATTCGTCCTTCCATAATTGTAGAAAGCTCTCCTTTGTAAACTTTGTGGCCATTATTAACTTAATTTTTACTCAACCATCGAACATGACCTGACCACCGCCATGTTGAATGGATATGTGAACGAACAATGTATACAAAAAATGGATAGTGAAAATAAGGAAATTATATCCATCGGCGATTTCAATTGTGATTGGCTCCAACCTGATACAATCGAGACTCGAAGGTTATCACATTTGGCTAGAATGTATCAACTTGACCAAATGATTGATGAACCGGCTCGAGTCACCGAAAGATCTCGAACACAAATCGATTTGGTTTTTAGTAATCGTCCAGAGATAATAATTAAGTCCGGTGTACATCACATCGGTATCAGCGATCATAGCTTAATCTATATACACAGGAAAATATCTATACCACGTAAGCAACCAAAGATAAATACGCGACAGTTTAAGCGTTATAACACAGAAGCTTTCAATCTAGATTTGTATAATATCCTTCATTCACAGCCGCATGAATCCGATCCGAATATCCTTTGGGATGACTGGAAGGAAAAATTTTTGTTAGTAGCGGATATGCATGCACCACCAGTCATCAGGAGAGTTCGAAGCGAACATGTGCCATGGTTAACTTCGGAAATCAAAACAAAAATGTATCATAGGGATTTTCTTAACAAATAAAGCAATAAAAACAGGTTCAACTCACTTTCATAATGCATACAAAAAGGTTAGAAATAATTTGAGCAAGTTAGTAAAAGATACAAAAGCGAATTATTACAATAATGCGATAAACCAATGCAATAAGGATCCAAAATCTATGTGGAAAACTATCAATCAATTAACAAACAAGAAATCGAAAACAACTAAAATTAATGAATTGATAATTGATCAGAAAGTTACAACAAATCCAGATGAAATAGCAGAAGGTATGAATAAATATTTCAATGATGTTGGAACCGTTTTGGCTGATATCTCTCAAATGGGCATAATAGTTTTGAGGCGTATGTCGATCAACCCTACTGAAACTACATTTGAAATTCAAAACATTTCTGTAGTGGAGGTAAAAAGTGAAATTTCAAGAATCAAAACTTCCAAAGCTACTGGACATGATCGTATATCACCAAAACTTTAATTTGAAAGATAGTGTGGAAGTAGTTGCCGAATCCCTCACAAATAGTTTCAATAAATCCATTGAAAAAGGCGTATTTCCTGATGACCTTAAGATTGCATTCATATCTCCTATACATAAAGGGGATAGCAAACTAGAATGATGTAACTACAGACCAATATCTATCATATCTGTAGTAGCTAAAGTGTTTGAAAAGCTTATTTTCAGGCAACTCAATGGATATTTGGAGTCTAACCACTTGCTGTCGGACAGTCAAGATGGCTTTAGTAAAAAGAGTTCGACTACAACTTCCCTTTTGAATCATACGAACAAATGGTACATCAATATGGATAATGGTCTTTTAAACGGAATTATTTTTCTCGATCTAAAAAAAGCTTTCGACTGTGTCGACCGTGATATTTTGATAAAAAAATTGTCTTACTTTGGCTGTAAAGGAACCACTTTAAATTGGTTTAAATCATATTTAACGAATAGAAAACAAGTGGGTAAAGTAAATCAAGTGACATCCCAACCTCGAATAATTCGTTGCGGTGTACCACAAGGTTCAAATTTAGGTCCAATACTGTTTCTTATTTATATAAACGACTTGACTAATTGTTTAAGAACGACTACAGCCAGTTTGTTTGCAGACGATAGTAATCTGACAGCAAGCGGGTGCTCGATTATAGACATCCAAACAAAATTAAACAATGATTTGAAAAATATACATCAATGGTTATTGGCCAATAAATTAACTCCCAATAAGGACAAAACTGAATATATGATAGCCGGGTCTAGGCAACGGATTAGCAAAATTGAAGGTGACCCAGAAGTTAAATTAGGAAATTGTAATGTAAAAAGAGTGAAAGAAACAAAAACTTTAGTACAACCTCACTTTGACTACTGTAACCTTGTTTGGGACATTGGTAATGTTTACTCGCTTGAAAAGCTGCAGAAAATGCAAAACAGGGCTGCAAGAGTCATTACTGGTAGGTCGTACGAAGTTAGGTCCGAGACTATTTTACAGGAATTAGGCTGGCAGCCACTGATAGAAAATTGGAAAGAGAATAAGGCAGTTTTTATGTACAAAGCCAAAAATAGCAAATACTTGACAACAATTACTGATGTTTTTAATGTGAAAAATAATGAAAATTATAATTTACGCAATAACGATTGTGACTTTTCGATAAAAAGCCTAAAATTAATTTTCTTAAAAAAAGTATCGGCTACTGAGGAGTAAAGATTTGGAGCGCTGCTCCGAGACAGACAAACGTAGATTGTTAAAGTTTTTAATGTTTTATTATAAGGGCGGGTGGGAGGACTGAGAGAAGGAAGGGGGGGGGGGGATTATTCGTGTGTCATATTTATATATATATATTTATTCATTATTTTCTTCCTTTATTATTAATCAACGGCCCCTTGAAAATCAGCTACAAGGAACTGTACATAAACTTGCTGAATGGCTACCGTTGTATATGTGTGTGTAAATAAGATTAAATAATAATACTAATAATAATAATAACAATAATGTCCTATCATATGCAACCTAAACGAAGTTCATAATACCAAAATAAAAAAAATAATCATATTGTCCCAGACCACCTTATTAATTATTTAATAGTTAATGCACTTTTACTAAAGCGTTGATAGTCGCAGTCAAGTCGATAAAAGGGAAATTGTTCCAGGTGCGTCTGTGCTTCATTTTATACAATGAGAAATGCAAAGATGATTTAAAAGTACGGGCAGTAGCAAGCAAAAACGCAAACGGAAGAGAGGGAAACTGACGTGTTTAGTTTGTAATTGCTTGGAAAACGTTGATGCTATGAATGCAGAAATCCAAGCAGCAGTTGTATTTGCTGAGCGCCTTGGTGTTGATGTTCAGAGTGATTTGCAACATCATCATCGCCACAGAAAACCACCTGGCAGACACGATGAGAACCAGTCAAATGCTGTGTCGTTTAACTTGGCCTGGAGTCTTTTTTTTTCAAGGCAGTGTTGGACACTCAGATCCAATCTCGTTCCCCGAGCCTGCGATCCTTGGGAAGGAAACGAAGGCTCTGGGATAATCCATGTCAGAAATGAATATGATTGGTTGCTGGTATACAATGGAATGTTGCAATTTTGCAAAAATTAATTTTTAACCGTATATTTTTACATACAACATGGCGGCCGTTTAGGAGTGTACGAATATTGTTTTGGTGTTTCAGAGCTGTGCTGTATACTAATACTACAAAAGAAATGCAAAGAAACGTATACTTAATGCGTATAATATCACAACAATTAAATGGAGCGTGAAAACTTTACTCATATTTGTGTTGTACAGGTTTTCTGTAGTTTTAATCTATACATAGTATACAGTACTGTCAGTACACTGTACTATTTGAATATAATATCAAATATGTGCTATATTTTGCAAATACTATTTGTGTCAGAAATGGTTAATAACTTTTATTAATTTGTCTTTGTGTTATTTAATTGCGAAGAACTAGCTAATGACTAGTTTCAATAAATCCAATCTTGGGATTTATATTTTATTATTTAATGTATATACTGTACTGTAAACTTTCCAAGTGCAGGAGTATGTAATACTCATTTTAACTTGTAGCATGTAACCTTTCCCTATATGGGTACATGCATATGAATCTTTTGTTGTTATAATTTATTTATAGAAGTGTTCAAAAAACCTTTATTCTCTAAATAAACCACAATTTCGTAGGCAGTGATATTAACTTGTATTCCAGTCTGCATACACCTAATACATACAATGAATTCTTGGGTTTCACTAGGCATTTTTCACGTTCTGACGTGGGGTCAACCTAAAATGTATTGATGCTTATGCTGTACTGGAGCGAGCAAATGATATGAAATTGCATGTATTTGCCACCAAACACAAGGCCAACACATACAGTGAAAAATTAATTCACTCTGATGACTGTGTCTCGATTTAGAGTTGACCTCCCGTCAAATTTATGACGTCATATGAAACACAATAATATACAGTATAATATTACAGCTAATTGTAGCAGAAAGTATTTAATGATTTTAATTTATTGAGTAGTACAATATGCCAAATTGGCAATCCCTTCATTAATCTTGTCCACACAGTAATTCAAAGAAGCCCTGCCCTCTGTACGAGGTTGTATTAATTGGATTCTGTCCAAGAAAACGTCATAAACCTTTTGATCCAAATGTTACAAAGTATGAATTCCAGATTGGGAAACCATATAAATATTTTTAATAAATTCATATACTTTTTTAAAGAAATGTTCTATTCACAAAAATATTAAATGATAGTGATCAGCCACCAATACCAGAATTCATTTTCATCAGCTTCCCCCTGGTTATGACCCCCTGCAGGGAACCACCTAGGGTGCAGGTATAATTTTGTGATGAATGATAAAAAATTGCCCAATATAAATGCCGAGCCATAGAAATATTTTTATTACCATGGTCATGACAACTACCCTGTCAGTTTGATTGCAATATCAAAACTTGTTATTTACACTATAAAACAACACATACCTACTCTGAGAAGGGGAGGGGCAACAAAAACTCATATATTTCAGTTTTTTCCCTTCCTATCCAATTCAAATCATGCTGGCCACGAAAACAATTTCCCGATTGCGATACAATAAATTGCCAAATGCCTGACAATTTGGGCTAGCGACGCCCCTGAACGCTACAATGATAGCAACTTCTATTGCTATTACATCTCCAACCTTGAATGTCCTATTTTATAGTTAATGGCAGTAATCTAATTAATTGCAGTAATCAACATGAAGTCAATTACATTTCCGGCCATTGATGAGAAATATTGTCCAGAAGTACAGTGAAATAACAAAATAGGGTGCACTAAAGAGCATTGTGGCTTAATGATCTAATGAGATAATTAACCAAAGATAGGTAGACATGCAGATGGACTGGTTAA